TCATCAGAATGTAAGCCTTTTGTAAGTCAAGATTGCTTCATTCTTTGAACTTATATCTGCAGTGTCTAGTAAAATGCCTAGCGTATAGTAAGTGCTTAATAAATATTTGTGGATTGACCGATTTATTACCAGGTCCAAACCACTATATTGGATGATGGGGTCAAGATGAAAAATAAACGCCTTGATGAACTAGAATAATGAGCTGAATTTAATAAGATAAAATTTAATTGAGATAAGTACCAAGTTCTACACTCGGATTTTAAAGATTAGCTCCATCTGTTGAAGATGGGGGAGGTGTGGCTGGTCAGGGGTTAATACAAAATAGACGATACATTCAGACTAAATATGAGTCAACACTGCAATATGGCGGCCAAGAATAGATAATGCAATCTTAGGCTGCATTAAGAGAGACCTAATGTCCAGAACACGGAACTCCTGTCGTCATCTACCCCAGTTCAACCACATATAGAATGGTGTGTTCAATTGTGGGTACCACATTTTAAGAAGTAATTGACCAGCTGTAGTGCCTCCAGAGAAGGGCCACCAGGATGGTGAGGGAACTGGAGATCTGGCCATTGAAGATTGCAACATATCAACAAGGACGGGCAGGTTTGGCTTAGAGAAGAGACGGTTCAATAGGGACATAATTGCCATCTTTAAGTATTGGAAGGGCTGTCCCATGGAAGAAGGATTCAACTTGCTCTGCTTGGTCCTGGTAGAGCAGAAATAGTTCAGTGGGTAGAAATCATGGAAAAGCAGACTTTGGCTTCATGTACAAAAAAACCTCCTGCCATTTAGAGCTGTCTCAAAGGAAAAGGGCATGTGGTGAGTTTCCTACCACTGGAGGTCTTCAAGAAAACCTTGGGGATATTGCAGAAGGGGATTCCTGACCAGGTATGGGCTGCTCCTTTCTAACACTTAGATTCTATAGTTCTGTGAACCTACTAGAGCTTGAGAGGTCCACTGGCAGAGGCTTAGAGAACCCAGGGTATCCTCCATCAGAGACATTCCAGAAGATCATTGGTGGAAATGGATGAGTATATGTGAGTATGCAGTGAATACGTAGGCACGCATGTAGTGATTGGAAGGGCAAGTGTGGCTGAGTTGAACAGATGGATGGATTAGAAAAGAGCAAATGCACCAAACAGGTGTACCCTGGAAAAATGCCAGCCACGGATTTCTTACTGATGGCATGCAATTATTCTTATCAATGAATGTTATCTTTAATGCTTCATATACATATATATATATATATATACATATATATATATATGTATGTATATATATATATATATATACATATATATATATATGTATGTATATATATATATATATATATATATATATATATATATATATATATATATATATATATATATATATATATATCTTATCTTCCACCTGGACTGTGAGCTCCTTGAGGGCAGAACCTGTCATACATTTTTCTATATGCCCCTGTGATGCCTAGAACATAGTAGTGTCTCCCTAAGTAAAAGCTTAGCATTCCATACCTGGAAGGAACCTTAGAACATAGAATGTCAGAGCTAGGAGAACCCTAAGAAGAGAGAATGGCTGAGCCTTGAGAGAGTTTAGAACATAGAATGGCACAGCTGGAGGGAACTTTAAATATAGAATATCAGAGCTAGGTGAGCCATGAGAACATATTATCCCTGGATAAGGGGGTTAGAACAGGGATTCTTAACTACATTTTTTGCATCATGGACCCTTTTGTCAGTCTGGAGAAGCCTAGGGACCTTTTCTCAGGATAATGATTTCTTGGTTACATTTACAATTCAAGGAAATGCTTGTTTTGGTTCAAGGATTAGTAAAATAAAGACGTAATTTTTTTTCCCATTCAATTTCACAGATCTGTGAAATCTATCCATGGTCCCCTTTGGGAGATAAGGGACCATGAATCCAAGGTTAAAAACTCTGGAGTTAGAAGTAATCAAGTTCAACTTGTCATTTTACAGATGAGAAAAAAGAGGCTCAGGTAGGGGAAATGAACTGGCCAATGCTTCATCACTAACTAATACCAATGATGGATCTGGTGTTCAGATTTCCTCACTCCCATTCAGTGCTCTTTCTAGATTGGGCAACCCCCATCTCAGAAAAGGAGGAAGAAGCAGGCAGTAGGCTATGAGCAAGGAGTGTGGAGTAAACCATAGAGGTCTAGAGAGCAGAGGGACAAGGTATATCACCTAGAGAGAGACAGAACACAACCTGGCCCACAGAGCCTCCTTCAAGAAGATTGGAAACACCTCTGGCTACTAAGGTACTAAAAGTAATGGGTCTCATCCTTACGTGGGAGAGAGGTAAGCAGGAACAGGGCTGGATTCAGAAGAGAAGACCTGGTTTCAAATCCCAGTTCTCCCATTAGATGACCTTGGCAAATTAATTCATGTCGGGGCGGCTAGGTGGCGCAGTGGACAGAGCTCTGGCCTAGCAGTCAGGAAGACCTGAGTTCAGATCCAACCTCAGACACTTGACACTCACTAGCTGTGTGACCCTGGGCAAGACACTTAACCCCCATTGCCTCACCTAAATGCAAAAAAAAAAAAAATCATCTTCCTGAGTCTGTTTTCTCATCTGTAAAATTAGAGGGTTCAGCTAGCTGGCCTCTAAAGGCCTTTCCAGCCCTACGTCTTTGCTCCTGTGATTCTCCATGCAACAAGGACCAGAGTAGTCAGTGGAGACTATTCCTTGGTCCCCTGTCTGCCTCTCTCCTGTTTCCCATGCCCACACATACATCCAGGTGCCCAGCATGCTGTCAGCTCAGAAGATAGCTTTGCAAAGGTCAAGGAGTATTTTTAAACAGTGACAGATAGCCTGCCCCTCCTTCTGCCTGAGTCACCACTAGGGACCCTATTTGAGAGTTGTTTTCTTTGAAACATGACCCCCGAGAGGGGCAAGGGAATGGAGAAACTGTCCCCGGCATCCATCCAGGCATAGATAGCACAGTAAGTATATGTTAAGGGCATCATGAGTAAATAGGATAGAGCTTAATTGTATGCATTCCTTACCTTGTCATGTTCTGTCCTAACCCCACAGCAAGGGTGAGGCCTGGAGACCTTGAGGGAAGAAAACTTGTGTCTTTCTCACAGGAAATCCGATTCCCCCAACCCACTGCATCCAGCAAGTCTAATTAAGGGATTTTCATTAGCACTGGTCAGCACACTGGAAGCTGGACAGAGCTAGAATAATAGGTATGTATGCATGTGTATGTGTGTACACATGTATATACATATACACACATACACATATATACATGTAAGTATATATATATGTATATGTATTTTGAGTTCAAATCTGGCCTCTAACACTAGCTATATGACTCTGGGCAAGTCACTAAACCCATTTGTCTCAGTTTCCTCAACTGTAAAATGGGGATAATAGTTGCTCCTACCTCCCAGGGTCATTGTGAGGATTTAATTATTGTGAGGTGCTTAGCACAGCGCCTAGCACATGGTAAGTGCCACGCAAATGTTAATTAGTGTCATCATTATGCAGTTATCCCTTTCACATCGAGGGAGTCAGGGCGGGGCGTCCCATCGATCTGGAAAATCCTTGTAAAATTTTTTGGTCCTCCATTCATACCAGAGAAGGAGTCTGAATTATTAGGTCTTAAAAGATAAAATATGTTGATGTTATATGATACTATACATATGCTTTACACATTTCTGAGTTTCTAAACTTTTTCTGTGTCACCTGCAGCTACCACAAAACTCCCCCCAAATTCCCATTTAATTTCTTTTGCCAACCTTTGATGTACCAAAACCTCTCTGAGGAAAGTCAAGATGTAGAGGGGATTATTGTATATAACTTTAAGGTTTATCCAACACTTTATATATATTATGCCACTTGATTCTCACAAGGGAAGAGAAGGTAATAAACAGTTATATAGAGCTTACTATATGGATAGAACACCAGACCTAGAATCAGGAAAACCTACATTCAGATCCCACCTCAGACACTTACTAACTTTGTGAACTTGGGCAAAGTCATTTAACCCTGTCTGCCTCAGTTTCCTCATCTGTAAAATGAGCTGGAGAAGAAAATGGCAACTCACTCCAGTATCTTCTCCAAGAAAACCCCAAACAGAGTCACAAAGAGTCAGACATGAATGAAACGGCAGAACAACAAAAATTGTTATGTAAAGCTCTTGGCAACCTTCAAATTCAAGGGGGCCATTTGCTGGAAATCTCTTTGTAAAGGACATTATTTTTTACTCCACAAAGAAACGGAAGAAACGAAACCTTTTAACCTTAACTCCAACATAGATGCATGACACAGTGGGCCATAGGTTCACATGTGCTTCAGTTCCAAGCCCCAGTCACACCTGGCCTACATGACCTGTGCAAACACCTAGGCACTAGCCTGCCTTTCCAGTGGATCTCATGTCCTCCTCCCTCCCAATACACCAAGCCGCACACAGCATTTCCTCATCTACACAATTTAGAGGCTGGGATTAGATGGTCTTTGACGTCCCTTCCAGCTTCAAATCCTTTGATCCCCTGACTACCCTCTGTGCTTTCCTGCCACTCCCAGGGCCTCTGCTCAAACTGTTCTCTATGGCTGGAATGTCTTCATAGATTCACAGATCTTGTACTGAAAGGTACCTCAAAGGTCAACCTCCTGATCCAATCGCTTCCTGTTATAGAAGAGAAAACTGAGCCCCATAGGGGTCGAGTGACTTGCTCTGGACAGCAAGTAGACAGCCAACACTCAAACTCAGGACCTGGGACTCTAGATCTAGCCTTCTTCTCACTACCCCACTTCCCTCTCCCTTTCTGCCTGGATAGAGCACCAGCCCTGAAGTCAGGAGGACCTGAGTTCAAATACGGCCTCAGACCAAACACTTGACACCTACTAGCTGTGTGACCCTGGGCAAGTCACTTAACCCCAACTGTCTTAGGGGAAAAAAAAAAGAATAGATATTTGTTCTCCTTGCTCTGTGGCAGGGGTAGCCAAATCCTGATGTGTGTTGTTTCCTTCTAGAGATGGAACAGGAAAATGAGAAGCCCCTTCAGGAAGGGACCACTCCCTCTGTCCCAACCCAGACAGCAGACACTTCTGGGACTGTGGCGAATGGATGTGCCAACGAGGAAGAGTTAGCCAAAGACATGGCCCAGAAGATGTGTGACAAGGAATCTGAAGAAGTGGGAGGGGCTGACAATGAAAATAGAGTAGAGGAGGCCCAGTCCAAGGCCAAGACAGAGAATGATGAGGAAGCCAAATCTGATCCCAAGAAGGAGGTTGATGAAAAAGAGGAGAGCAAACCTGTACCCCAAGGAGAGGCAGAGGGGGGAAAAGAGGCTGAGTCTGAATTGAAAAAAGAGGCTAAGGGGAAAAAGGAGGCCAAGTCCGAACCCAAAAAAGAGTCTGATGGAAAAGAGGAGGCCAAGTCTGAAGCCAAAGAAGAGGCTCATGGGAAAGAAGAGGCCAAGTCCGAAGCCAAAGAAGAGGCTCATGGGAAAGAGAAGGCCAAGTCTGAAGCCAAAGAAGAGGCTCATGGGAAAGAAGAGGCCAAGTCCGAAGCCAAAGAAGAGGCTCATGGGAAAGAGGAGGCCAAGTCTGAAGCCAAAGAAGAGGCTGATGAGAAACAGGAGGCCAAGTCTGAAGCCAAAGAAGAGGCTGATGGGAAAGAAGAGGCCAAGTCTGAACCCAAAAAAGGGGATGATAGAGAAGAAATCAAATGTGACTCAACAGAGGAGGCGACAAAGGAGTCAGAGAAAGAAAATAATGAGACTTCCTGCTCAGAGTTGGAGGCAGAAACCATTTCTGACACTCAGGTCACCCAGGTAGGGAAGCCCAGTTTTCCCCTGTTGGGGGTCTCTCAGTATCTCCTCCCTCCACACATACTCAAAGCAGCAAAGAGAGAGGTGTGATCTGGTCCAAGGGGCTACAGGACAATGCAGTAGGTGGGCTCCTGGGAATTGGCTACACCCATGCATGTGCATGCCCAGGACCCACAGGGGCCTGTGTCCTCCCAGGAGGTAAGTGGTACAGATGGAGAGCCAGGCAATGGAGCTGAGAAGGAGCAAAGAGGAAGCTCAGAAGCAACTCCTAGCTCACCAGAGGAGTGGCCAGAGAGTCCCACAGGAGAAGGACAGCACCTCAGCCCAGGTAAGTGTAGCTGTAGAGGAGGGCAAAGTTGGGGGAGGGAATGTAATGATAGAAAGAAGAGGGAAAGAGAGCACCAGCAGCCACAGATGCCTCCTTTCATTTCTCTTCAGATACTACTGGTCCAGAGAGCCCAACAACCAGGTAAGATGGGTCTTGGGGCTCCAATCCCCAAGCTCCAGCTCACTTTCACCTTTTATAAGTGGGCTTTCCATCTCCTCTGGTCTAAGTCCACGGTGCCTCTTCAGTCACACATCCTCCACGCCAAGGCTGCGTGCCTCGGTGTTCCTCCACTGACAATCATATAACATTCCTGAATCCCTGGTGACGCATAACCCTTCTGCCCTTTTTTAGAGTACAACTTAGACTCCACTCCACTTAGATACAAAGGCATCTTTTAAAGGAGGCTCTGAAGTCCCAGTCAAATCCAACAACCATTCCTCTGATACTCATTGTTCCTCAAGTATTTTCTTCTGGGCCCTTGAGGATACAAAGATAAACCCAAGCTAGTCCCTGCCTTCAATGAGCTTGCATTCTATTGGGGTGGGGGTGGGGGAGCAAAACTGAGGGAACAGAGAAGTTTATGCTAAGATATGCTAAGATATGATAGTTTAAGGAGGAGGAGTTGAGAGAGCATCTGAACTTTGAGTTGAGTCTTGAAGGGAAGCAGGGATTCTAAGAGACAAAGATTAGAAGGGAGAGCATTCCCACTGCAGGAGACTGGAAGGGAGCAATCAATTAATCGATCAACATTTATTAGGCACCTAGTATGCAGCAGGCATCGTGCTAAGTGCTGGGAATGCCAAAGGAGGCAAAGATAGTCCCTCTCCTTGAGGCAGAGTATGCAATGTGGAGTTTAGGGAACAGCAGGGACAGCTTGATAGAGTGTCAAGGGTGTTCCACTAGAATCCAAGCTCCCTGAGTCCAGGTGCTGTTTCACATCTGTCTTTGTATCCCCAGGACCAAGCACCATGCCTGGCACATAGGAGGTGTTTAAGAAATGTTTGTTGATTGATTGATTTTTAAGGCACCTCTCCCTTCAAACCCACCCAGAGCCTATGTTCTAACCTCAGAGACCTGTTGCATCCCCCCAGCTTGCAGGGTCCCTCTGGACCTCTCTCTTGACTTCCTTCTGTCTGTAGTGACTCGTCCCCCAGTGATGTGCCCCAGAGTCCCACAGGCCCCGCTCCCTCAGAGGAGAGGACTGAGAAGCCGTCAGAACGCAGAGTCTCTGCTCCAACCCGACCCCGAGGTCCCAGGGCTCAGAACCGAAAAGCCATCATGGACAAGTTTGGGGGGTAAGAAGCTGGCTTACAGGAGGCATTGAGGCTGGGTGAGGCCAAGGTAAAGAGTGAGCCTTCCAGAACATCTCCTTTCAGGGGCCTCCAAAAGCTGGGCCAGAATTGGACTGATGAAAGGGAAAATGGGGTCCAGGCTGAAAGACTGACAGCTGGAAGCTCCCTGATACAAATAATGGAGAGAGATGGGTTCTGGTCCCCACTCCACCACTGTGAGATCTGGGGCAAGCTATCCTCTTTCCCTATGCCTCAGTTTCCTCCTCTATAAAAACAACGTGTTAAAAGAAAAATAGCCATGATTTGGAATCAGAAACCGTGCTCTGGAATCCCAGTTCCACGCCTGCTCGGGCAGCTGTGTTACTAACACAGTGAAAAGAATGTTGAGGTTGGAGTCAGGATCCGAGTTCAAATCTTGCCTCAGCTATTTGGTAGCTGTGTGACCACGGGAAAGTCCCTTAACCTCTCAGCCTCAGTTTCTTCGGGTATAAAATGGAGATAGGGTTATTGTGAAGCTCAAATGAGATAACATACATAAAGTCCTTTTGCAAACCTCAAAGTACTTATGTAATTGGTATTATTATTACTCCCTGTGGAATCTTGGGGAAATCATGTTACTTCTCTGGGCCTCTTTTTGTTCATCTGTAAAATGGGAACGAGTGGGTGGCCTCCCTAGTTATTGTTGTTCCATTGTGTCCGACTCTCCACGACCCCATTTTGGGGTTTTCTTGGCAAAAATACATTTTACAGATGAGAAACTGAGGCCAATTGGGTTAAGTGGCCTGCCTAGAGTTACACAGCTAAGAAGTTCCAAGGGCGGCTTTGTTTATTTAAAATTTTTGCATCTATATTCAGTAGGGGAAATGGTCTACACTTTTCTTTCTCTGTTCTGACTCCTCCCGGTTTAGGTCTCAGCACCATCTTTGTATCTGAGGCCAGCTTCGAACTCCACGAGATGAGTCTTCCTGACTCCAGGCCTGGCACTCTGTGCCCTGCAGCGCCACCTAGCTGCCTCCCTAGGGACGCTTCTAAAGCCTGTGGTCCTGTGTGCCTAGGATGGTGTCTAAGGTCCCTTCCAGTTTGACGGGTCTCCGTTCTTTAATCCCTTCTTTGCCCTCAATTCTCCTCTCTTCCAAACAGGGCAGCAACTGGCCCTGCCCCCCTGTTCCGGAACGCCAAGGCAGCAGGGGCAGCCGTGGGCGGCGTCAGGAACATGCTGCTTGAGTGGTGTCGAGCCATGACCCGGAAGTATGAGGTGGGAGCTGCAGCAGGTACAGGGGAGAGGGGGGGGCCTGCGGCTCCTGGGGGGAGGACCAGGGAGCCCCTGCTCCAGGATGGCTTCTGCACGTGCAGTGGAAAGCCAAAGGCTGGGAGAACGACCTAGCAGAGGAGGGCAGGGCAGCCCAGAAGCAGTCTTTGTCCAGCCCTTCCCCTCCGAGCGGGACGAAGGGCCTCGAACAAGAGGTGCACCGTGAGCCCACTCTTCCGTTCCTCAGCACGTGGACATTCAGAACTTCTCCTCCAGCTGGAGCAGCGGAATGGCCTTCTGTGCTCTCATCCACAAATTCTTCCCCGACGCTTCGATTATGCTTCACTTGATCCCAAGAAGCGCCGGGAGAACTTCACCCTGGCTTTCTCTACGGCTGAGTGAGTCAGAGAACTGCACAGGGAGGGTGGGGGGAATGCTAAGGCAACGCCTGACGGGCACCCCCGGACCTCAGTTTCCTCGTCTGAGGAAAGCATGGTTCAGTGGACAGAGTGTAGGATTTGGACCCAGAAAGAACTGGATTCAAGTCACACCTCTGAGAGTTACTAGCTGGGTGACCTTGGGTAAGGGAGTCAACCTTTCTGAAGCTTAGTTTCCTTTTTTGTAAAATGGGGGTAACAATATCTGTGATGCCCATGCAGCAGGCTTACTGTGAGGCTCAGATGAGAAGTGTGTGTACTACGGAAAGTACTCTATAAATATCAGTTATCGTAGGGCCCTGTGCGATGAGGTCACTGTACTGGGGTATGTCAAGACTTAGCCAGCTGTAGCATTGTGTGCTAAGATCCCTTCTAACTCAAACATTCTGTGTTCTATGTTCCGGGGTCCTCTGCACCTCTAACATTCTGCATTCTGGGTTCTAAGGTCCCTTGCAGCCCTAGTATTCTGTGTAATGATGGCCCTTCCAGGGCTGACCCCCACGTTCTAATGCCTCTTCCAGTTCTAACATTCTGTGTTCTATGTTCCAGGGTCCTTTCCACTTCTAACATTCATGTGCTCAGAGCCCCTTCCAGTTCTAATAGTATATGTTTCCGGAAGCCTTTTCCCGAAAAGGCCAGAAGACCAGTGCTGACTCAAGTATACAAAAGTTTCCCAAGCTAGTTCTGATGACCTTAGAAGAATCACAAAAGTTCAGGCACTGCCTCCCCGGCATCAGTCCTACCCACTCCCACACTTGGGCAAGACTGAGATGTTGTCTGGTGCCCTCCACAGCGTGATGGATTCTTTGGGAAATCTCTGCTCCCAAGAGATAAGGAATTGTCTGAATTCAGATCCTTCCTCAGATATTTAGGAGACCCTGGACAAGTCACTTTATTTTTCAGTCTCAGCTTCGTCATCTGTTTAAGAGCAGTTATAACAGCAGCTACTTCACAGGGTTGTTGTAAGGGTCAAATGAGAAAATGCATGCAAAGCACTTTGCAAACTTTGAAGCCTAAGTAGAATGTCCCACTGTATAAATACTAGCTAGCATTATTACCATGAGCTGTACCTAGACACCACGGGACAAGATGTCCGAGCTGTGCTCCTCTTCACTTCTGCACTGGGGCATGTGGGATCCTGATTCAGAACCTCTGGGTCACATTCCTAGGTACACCCTTAGACCTTAGAGGTGAGTTTCCTTAGAGGGGAAAACAATAGTATCATATGTGTGTATACATATATTTGATTAAATATACCTATAGACATTCCATTTTACAAAGCCTCTTATATACACTATCTTGTTTAATCTGCTCAACACCCACTTAAGATTAATAGTACAAGCTTTGTCATAGTTATTGTCATATGGGAAGGCTGAGGGTAAAAGAGGTAAAATGTTTGTGAAAAGTCATATAGCTCAAAAGTATCAAAGCTCTGACTTGAACTGTGATCTTCCGGCTCCAAATTGGCCGCCCCACTGTGCTGTTTCATCACCAAATGGTGTCACAAGGGCAAAATGTTCTGGAACAGTAACCAAAGGGCTTTGCATGAAAGTCAAGGAGAGAACTTGCTGAGAGTAACGGGTATGAAAGAGACATCAGGACATCAAAATGGGGCTTACATGGATTTGGAGGCTACCTGCCTCACCCTAAGTCAAATTCTCTTCAGAATATATTGTCTTAATCCAGTTACCTCTGGGAAATCGCAGAATATAACTCAAATATAACTTTTGTCTCTCTTTCTATAGATGTAGGTAAAAGCTCCTGTACAAGCATTCAAGTCAACAATGTGTCAATGTATTTTGCCCCACAGAAAACATATGAAGGACTCCCAGCAGTCCATTAAAAAATACAATTCTCCTCCCTTTCCCATGAGCACTACCTTCCCTAAGGTCCTACATAACCCCTTAGACTTGTAGCACTACTTTGTTGATTAGATTTTGCTCAGAAGGCAAATATAATTAAAATTGCTGGATGAACAACTCTCCCACCTCTGACATCTGGTGAGTCCCATCTATATCCCAGAGATTGAATAAGGTGTTATACAACCCTGAGGAACTGAACTCTCTTAAAGACAGGAAACATACTTGGAGCTTCTGTGTGTGTGTGTGTGTGTGTGTGTGTGTGTGTGTGTGTGTGTGTGCGTGTGTGTGTGTGCGCGCGTGTGTCTGTCTGTCTCTGTCTGTCTGTCTGTCTCTCTGTATCTCTGTCTCTGTCTCTGTCTCTTTCTCTGTCTCTCTCTCTTTTTCTCTCTCCCTTCCTCACACATACTCTGTAGGTAGTCTGAATGGTGCATAGTGCCTTATCATAGGACTCAGCCCTAGAAAGGACCCGGAGACCATTCAGTGCAACCTCCTCATTTTCCAGCGGAGACGGCTGAGGTCCAGAGAAGGAGCCCCAAGGCCACACAGCACATGAGGAGGGGCACTGGCATCGGAGCCTGAGTCCTCCGGTGACCAGTGCCTTCTGTGTGGCAGCTCTCGTCCGCCGTGCCGTTGATCCTCACCCCCTTCCCGTCCTCAGGAATCTGGCTGACTGTGCCCAGCTGCTGGAAGTAGATGACATGGTCCGGCTGAGCGTCCCTGACTCCAAATGTGTCTACACCTACATCCAGGAGCTGTACCGCAGCCTTGTGCAAAAGGGACTGGTGAAAACCAAGAAGAAATAAGGAGCACGAGCGCCCCCAGCAGGAGCAGCCCAGAAGGACACCTTGGTTGATGCTGAGGGTTTCCTCTGGCTCTTCAGCATCCCTGAGCTATTGGGGAGGAGAGAGGCAGAAGGGGCAGCAGAGCCACAGCCTGGGCCTCTCAGAGTCCATGCCCCAGCCTCCGAGCACACCCCACCCCACCCCCACCCCAGAACAGGCCAAACAAACTTTCCTGAGAACACTCCTTCCTGTCTGCTTCTGAACTTCTTAAAGCGCCTCTCTAGCCTAGTCCATCCTACACAAATCATGGGAGGTCTGTGGGACGGATATTGTTATCCCCAATTTACAGAGGAGGAACCGGACATCCCTAAGGGGCATTTCAAATGACTTGACCAAGATCACGCAGCTCATTTTGGGGGCAGGGTTGGAACAAGAACCCAGGTCTTCTGCTCTTTCACAGAATCCTAGATCATAGAAGTTAGAACTCATAGGGATCGTACCTGATAGGGGCATAGAAATCTGGTTTAGTATTAGGTAGTATCTGTTTTCCAGGGGAGCAACCCCAGAGAAGCCGAGTAATGCCCAAGAGTAGTAAGCAGCAAGGCTGAAGTTTGAGCCCATTCCCTGTGATTCTATATTCAATACTTTGGCCACAAGACACCGGTATGTTCATTACAAACCAGGCTGGGGCTAGACTTCGGGGCACTGCTAACAAACCACACATGCTCACAAGAGGATCGGGGTTAGAAGTGTGGTAGGGGTGCACTGGTCTTGGAGTTAGGAGGACCTGAGTTCAATCAAACACACACTTACTAGCTATATGACCCTGGGCAAGTCACTTAACCCCTTCAAAAGTAGTGGGATGTAAAATGACTGCTTTTCCATCATGCTGAAACTTATGCTATATCTCTGGCCACTAACAAATGTCTTCTGGGGCAGTTTGGCCATTCATTCATTCATCATTCATTCAACCAATCATCCATTCATTCACTAGTCATCTGGAAAAGATGGAGGGTTCCCACTGAATGCAAACTCAATATGAAACCATGGTTTTTTTCGTCAGCAAAGAAAACTAATGTGATGTTGGAGTGATGGGAGCACATGGTCCTGAATGTGGGAGACAGCAGTCGCCCTGTATTCTACTCTAGTCGGCCTACAGCTGGACTATTGTGCTCAGTTTTAGCTACCCTGTTGGGGGAAGGCCATTGACAAGCTGGCTTGGATCCAGAAGAGGGCCTCAGGGTGGGGAGAAGACCATTTTATGAAAGGATCTGCTGAAGGAAATGGGGGAGGTTAATGTGGGGAAGAGAAGACTTATAAGGGACCTAATATCTCTCTTCAAGTATTCAAAGGGCTCTTATGAAGGAAAAGGGGCAGGTGGGTGGTGCAGTGGATAGAGCACTGAGCCTGGGGTCGGGAAGAGCTGAATCCAAATCTGACCTTGGACATTACTAGCTGTGTGAACCTGGGCAAGTCACTTAACTCTGCCTCAGTTTCCTCATCTGCCAAAAGAACTGGAGAAGAAAATGGCAAATCACTCTAGTATCTTTGCCAAGAAAACCCCAAATGGGGTCACAAAGAGTCAGGCATGACTGAAAAGCAGCTAAACATACACATATGTAGGAAAAGGTTTAGACTTTTTCTGCTTGGCCTCAGAGGGCACAATCAGGAGTGGATTGTGGCAAAAGGGGCAGAATTTCACTGGATACAAGGAAAAAAAAATTTCTCATGTCTAGAACTATACCAAAGTTGGGAACTCTTTGGGGAAGAAGTAATTATCCCCCCTGAAGGTTTTCAAGGAGAGAGCAGATGAACATTTGGGGAGAGCTGGGAGAGAGATTGTAGAGGAAATTTCTGTTTTGATGTGGGCTAGGCTATGTGGCCTATGAGGTTCCTTTCAAATCTAAGAATGTCATCCATGCTTTCAACTTTTAAAGTTATATATTTATGAGAAAAAAGGGCGTATCCAACAGCAACACTGGGTTGTCAGAAACTGCATTTCCCAAGGTAGAAAGAACACAGGAGTCGGAGAGACACATTCCAGGTTCTAGATTCCTCTCTGCTTGCCCTTGGCAGAAACTTCTTTGTCTCCGTTCTCCTGGTGAGAAAATCTTCCTTCCTCACCCAGTCAGCCCTATCTCTGTGGGGACCATCCCAGGCCTCCCTGTGGTAAGGATTTCGAATTACAAAAACCCTGAGACAATAATAATAGCTACCACTTGTATAGGGCTTTAACTTTGAAGGTTTGCAAAGTGATTTACAATCATCAAACATGGATCCTCACAACAACCCTGGGTGGCATGTGTTGTTATCATCTCCATTTTACAGGCAAGGAAACTGAGGCCGACAGCAGTTAAGCTCAGGCAAACACAGCTAGTAAGTGTCTGAAGCCTGATTAGACTCCAGTCTTCCTGGTTCCAGATCCAGTGACCCTCGAGGTAATTTATTGCAACCCCTTAATTTTCTAGATGACGAATAGGAAGCCCAGAGATGTTCAGTGACTTGGTCAGTGTTGCACAGCTGCTAAGTAGCTGGGGCAGTATTCAAGTCCAAGTCTCCAGGTATTGTTTCCTTGGTCTTCACTCTGATATGACCCCACTGAGTTATCACCCAAGAAGCCCTCCCTTCCTCCCAGAGGACTGAGCCATTCAATTCTGTGTATCTTGGTGCTTTCCTAGGCTGCTCTTAAAGCATGCCTCCCTTGTCAGGGCCCTATACCCAGACTAGTTCCTCTTTTGCTGGGTTGTTAAGAAGACAGGGTCCTTCTTCCGCTCTCTCGGAAGCCTAGCTGATTTTGTTGAAGAGTTTTTTATTCCTGGGAGATTTGCTGATCAAACCAAGCCCCTTGTGGAATGTCTAGTAAGTGTAGGGTACAATGGGGTACAATTCTAAGTGCTGTGGAGATCAGAGGAAATCTTAAGACATAGTCTTTGATATCTCTTTCACCAGCCTTTGGTGGTAGGGAGATTTTTTTTTATTGTTTAGTCGTTTTTCAGTCATGTCCAACTCTTCATGACCCCATCTGGGGTTTTCTTGGCAAAGATACTGGAGTGGTTTGCCATTTCCTTCTCCAGCTCATATGACAGATGAGGAAACTGAGGTAAACAGGGTGAAGTGACTTGCCCAGGATCACCTAGCTACTAAGTGTCTGAGGCCAAATTTGAACTCAGGAAGGTGAGCCTCAGGTAGATCATAGCCTTAAAGATTTCAAGGTCATGGAGTCAAACCCTCTCGTTTTAGAGAGGAGGAACCTAAGACCCAGAGATGTGAAATGACTGACAGAGGTCCTGCGGAGGGCGGGGCACAGGGCCGGGATTCTATCGTAGGTCCTCTAACTTCAAAGTCAGCCATCTTTCCATGGTTCTATCATGCTGCCTCTAGAGGGCCCAAGGGCAGAGGCATGCCAGTGGGAGATATCGCCATTTAGCCTCCTCTGTAACCATAAGGGGACAGGATGGGGCTGAGAAAACAGATCCCCAGGCCTTCCTCGGAGGGGATTAGGAGTGACTTTGAGCCGCCTCCACCCAAGGAGAGATTCCTTGGGGGAGGGGAGGGAGTGCAGCAGTGAGCCCCCATCATACTGGGGTGGGGTGTGCCTGGAGCCCAGGGGATATCTCCGGAGCATTGAGGGCAGCCTGGGAGTAGCTAGGGGAAAATGCCAAGGTCTGAGTGTCAACAGCAAGTGCAGTTCCCCTACCACCCCCTCCACCTTTCTGAAAGGGAGGCCTGGGTAGGGAGGGGTAGGGAAAGGCTCTTCCAGGAAACGATCAGGACTGGGAGGGGGAATTCACTAAGGCCCTGGGAAGGCCGAGGGCAAGAACAGCTGTTGTCCCTATCTTTGTCAGGGGGCCTGGAAAGGGGGGAATTACGGGACAGAGCCAGAGCTAACATAGGATTGAGAAGTAGAAAGGACCTTTGTGATCATCTGATCCAACCCTCTTCTTTTCCAGAAGGTTAAACTGAGGCCTGGGAAGAGGCAGCAGCCAGACATCTCAGGGCTAGAAACCAGATTCTTAACTCCAAGATTGGTACAAATTCTCCATATCCTGCTGGCAGCGTCCTCAAAACTTAGAGCACCCAGTGGACTGCTGTCCGTGCTGCTGTGCCCGAGGGGATTTCGGTCTCTCACTCAACCTACCAATCAGGGCACTCAGAATCCTAATAGTAGCTCACGCTTTAATCTAGCACCCAAATTGTTACAAAAAAAAATTCTTCAAAGCAACCTTGCGCAGGAGAATAAAAAGTCAAAAGCTGGGAGTCATCTAAATCCCTCTTTTAACAGATGAGGAAACTGAGGCCTAAACAGGCTAAGTTACTTGCCCAAAGTGATACAGATGAAGTAGAAGAACCCACGTTAGAAGCCAGGTCCTCTGACTCTAAATCCAGGACTCCTGTCACCTCATCAGCTGCCTCCAAAATAATTAACTAGCAGATGATGGTTTCACTCCATCACCCTCTGAGTTATGGGCCCAGTATGCTTCTGCTAAACCACCTTGCAATGATATTAGGTATCCCCATTTTAGAGATCAGGAAACTGAGGCAGAGAGGATAGTATAGTGAGAGCATGATGGAGAACCTGAATGCAAATCCTACCTCAGCCACTTACTGATGACCTCAACTTGCGCCTCTTAACCGCTCTGTCCCTCAGTTTCTTTATCTGTAAAATAAGAGAATTGTACTCAGCAGCACCTAAGGTCTCTTCTAGTTCTAAATCTATGATCCTACAGGGTGGAATGACTTATCTGCTATAGCTTGTTGTTAAGTCCTGCTTCAGTCATCTCTGACTCTCCATGACCCCATTTGGGGTTTTCTTAGCAAAGATACTGGAATGATTTGCCATTTCCTTCTCCAGCTCATTTTACAGATGAGGAAACTGAGGCAAACAGGGTGAAGTGACTTGCCCAGGATCACGCAGCTAGTGTCTGAGGCCAGATTTGAACTTGGGAAGTTCCTGACTCCAGCCCCAGCACTCTATGCACTATACCACCGATTTGCCCTGCAGCACTCACCGCCTAACAGCATGGCCTAGTTAAAATGAAGGTGTAAGATCAGACGTCTTCCAAGGCCCTGGACAGCTCCAAAGCCGTGATTCTCTGACACTAGGTTCAGAGGCAAGATATCTGGTTCTTCTCGTCAATTTGACTCTGTCACTTAATACAGCCAAAAATGTGTTAAGTGCTACCGTGTGCCAAGTATCACGCTAAGTGCTAGGGGACGTAGAAAGCTGAGGGACACAGCCACAGCCCTTTCCAGTCAAAGAAAGGGACAAGACAATAACCCAGATTACAGAGATTAGTGTATGAGAGAGATGCAGGGCAGCATCATGGGAGGTCTGAGGGAGGCAAGGTCTTACAGACAGAAGGCTCCCCAGAGGTGGTACAATCAGAGCAGGGCTTTTAAAGGCAGATGGCAACAGAAGAGAAAAGGGGAGGGGATTTCAGGCCCAAGGAAAAGGACCACAGGCAGGGCCACAGAAGTGGGACTCTACAGCATGCTTCCGGGAGCCAGAGTTGTTTAGCTTGGTGCATTGAGTCTGTAAGAGGGAGTAACACAAGAGGAAGAGAAGGCAGCTGCTTATGGAGGGTAATTTGCAAATACCCTTCAGAGGAGCTTGGATTTCACCAGGAGGGCAATAGCAAGCCACTGAAGATTACGGAGCAACGGAGTGATGGAACCAGATCTAGTCAGCTAACCAGCAAGCATTTACTATACGTTTACTGTGTGTCAGGCACTGTGCTTAGTGCTGGGGATACAAAAAGAGGCAAAAGACAGGCCCTGCCTTCGAGGTGATCACAGTCTAACGGGGAAGACAAGAAGCAAACGGATGCTACAAATCGAGCTCTATTCAAGATAAACAGGAAATAATTAACAGAGGGAAGGCACCAGAATTAAGAGGGGTTTGGAAAGGCTTCCTGGATAAAGTGAGGTTTTAGTTGGTACTTGAAGGAAGCCAGGAAAGACAAGAGGCCAGGAGGAACAAATGGATGCCTTACAAGCATGGAGGACAGCCAGAAAAATAAAAATGCCCATCACAGAGAGATGGAACAGCCAGGAAGTCAGTGTCACTGGATTGAGGAGTGTCAGAAAGTAGGGGGCGGGCAGCTTGAGGGGACGTGAGGGTTACGAAAGGTTGTAACTGAGTTATTAAAGGCTTAGCATGCCAAGCGGAAGATTTGCATGTGGTCCCAGAGGTGACAGGGAGGCGCTGGAGTTGAGTGTCTAGGTGCGTGTCATGGGTGAACCTGAGAGAAAAGGAAGAGAGAAAGATAAACTGCAGGTTCCTCCCTATCTGACCCCAAGCCATTTAACCACTTAGAGCCTCAGTGTCCTCCTCTGTAAAATGGGGAGAGTAACCTTTTCTTTGTTTCAAGGCAAGAAGCTGGGCCAGATAACGTCTTGCAACCTCTCTCAGCTCTAAGATCTGGGTTCTAGGAGAAATGCACTACCAAAGTCACTGCCACTCTCATCAGAGGATGTCCCACCTATCCCATTAAGAGGGGTCAAATGGTATCCTCAAAAGGGCTCTGACTTTGGAGGAAGGAGACTTCAGTTCTCTCTCAGCACTGGATGCTAGCTGATTGAGCTAGAAAAGTCACTTTGCCCCTCTGAGCCTCAATTTCCCTATTTGTAAAAGGAGAAGAGGAGAAGATAGCACTTATTTGAATTGAGTCTTGAAAGATGACCCTCACAAGACACTGTACGGATAACACCTTGTCTACCGTAGAGCATCTTATACTATGTAAATAAAGTCTCTAAGTGAGAATTCTCTTCCTACTTAGGTTAGGAGAATGAGGGAAAGCAAAACTGGTTCAGCCTAACCCCTCAGCCCTGTCAGAAAAAATATCTCAAGGAACATAAGTATTTTCTTTTTTTAAAAATCAATTTATTTTGATTTATCAACAATCACTTCCATAAGCTTTTCAGTTTAAAATTTTTCTCCCCTTCCCTCCCCACCTCCCTTCCCAAGATGGCTCGAAATCTGATATAGGCTATACGTATACGTTCTTACTAAACATATTTTCACATTAGTGATGTTGTAAGTAAGAATTAGAACCAATAGGAGGAATCCCCAGAAGGAGGAAACAAAACACAGCAGAAGAAAAAAATAGCAAATAGTATGCTTCTATCTGTATTCAAACTCCATAGTTCTTTCTTCTTTATGGATAGCATTTCCATCATGAGGCCTTTAGAGATGTCTTAGATCCTTGCATTGCTGAGAAGGGTTAAGTCTATCAATATTAGTCATCGAACAATGTGGCTGTTATTGTGTACAATGTTCTCTTGGTTCTACTCACTTCAGTCAGCATCAGACCATTCAAGTCTTTCCAGGTTTTTCTGAAGTCAGCCTGTTCATCATTTCTTATAGCACAACTGTATTCCATTACATTCACATACCACAGCTTGTTCAGCCATTCCCCAATTTATGGGCATCCTCTCAATTTCCAATTCTTTGCCACAACAAAAATAACTGCTATAAATATTTTTGTACACGTGGGTCCTTTTCCCATTTGTATGATCTCTGTGGGATACAGTCCTAGAAGTGCTATTGCTGGGCCAAAGGATATGCACATTTTGATAGCCCTTTGGGCATAGTTCCAAATTGCTCTCCAAAATGGTTGGATCATTTCACAACTCCACCAACAATGCATTAGTGTTCTAATTTTCCCACATCTCCTCCAACATTTATCATTTTCCTGTTTTGTCATGTTGGCCAATCTGATAGGTGTGATGTGGGAAAATAAGAATTTTCAAAGATAAATATTTCAAACTTCAGCCTTCTCTTCCCCAGATGGTCATCCCAATTTCCTCAGCTGTAGATCTACCTTTGGGGTCCCTGTCTGCTCAAAATGCTTCCTTCTACAGACCCTTTACCTAGAAGGAGCACAGAACCATGGGAGTTTAAAGCAGACTGACTTTGCAGGGTGAAGGCCAGGTTTCCATCCCTGCCCTCAGGGGGCTTTTAACACAGAGGGAAGTTATTTATTCCAAAAAAAAATGTTTTAATCACCTGCAGGATGCAAGGCCCAGAGCTGGTGATACAAAAATACATATGACATGGGGGTTGGGGTGGGACTAATGCTTCATGAACCTTCTGCCTCCTCCCTTCAACCACCAGAGTTCACAACCACTCTATATCTACCCTCTTATCTGATGTGATTCTCGCCTATGTCTTTCCAGAAATCTGTCAAAAAAGTCTTGTTCCTCCCACTTCCTCCCTATCTGTGTGACAGTGGGCAGCTCACTTCACATTGTCCGGGCCTTCATTTCTTCATCTGTAAAATGATAGCCTTGAAGAAGATGGCCTCTAAGGTTGATTTCATCTCTAAATCTGTGACCCTAGGAGTACCTGGTTCTCTTGAAGCCTGCTGCCCGGGGAGGAAGAAGGGTCAAATTCAGGAAGCATTGTGATAAAAGGGAGAGACAGACAGACAGTCGAACAGAAATATGGACAAAACACTGTCAGGAATGGGAGAAAGGAGAGCTCACTTTCACCTGAGGAGTCAGGGCAGGCTTCCTGGAGGAGAGGCCATCTGTGCTGGACCTCGAAGGAAGGGAAGAACTTTAAGAGATGAAGAGGAGAGGGATGGGAAGAATCCACTCTACAGACAGGGGATAAGCAAGGACATGGAGGCAAGAGGGCAGCAGTGGTATTGGAAAACTCAACTATCAGCCAGTCTTCTGGAGCTATAGAATTGATTAGCCCAATGGTAAAAAAAAAAAAAAAAAGGGAGAAAATGAAGCATCCAAAAAGTGCTTCTGTAACAGCAGAATAGCTTAATTCAGCTGAGTGTTTTAAACTTTCCCCCTATTCCCATTATACCCAGGCCTGCCCTTTAAAATCTTTCTGGTCCCTGTAGGCCATTTTCCTAAGCTGGCCCAGACCTTGAAACCAGAATCAAGGGAGCCATCTCTACCCAGGAGGACATGTCCATTCATCAGACAAGTGGTTCTTTGTGGAAAAGTCAAGTAGAGAAAAGGTAAGGAGACAACCAGGATCACTGGCTGGTAGACCGATCTTCCCCAAACTGGAGAGTGAATTCCTTGGCATTCTTCATGAACTGTGCTGGGTTCTGAACAAACATGTCAGCAAGCTCTGCCCGGAGCGGTAGCTCTTGGTTAGGTATGTTCAACTGTAAGATGAGCGCCTCCAGCACTGGGGAGAGAAATGAATGAATGAATGAATGAATGAATGAAAAAATGTCCATTAATGCTTACCATGTGCTAACTGTGCTAAGTCTTGGGGATACAAATACAAAACCTCCACAGTTCCTGCCCTCAAGGAGTTTTCATTCTAATGGAGGAGACATACATGTGGGGAAGTGAGGGTAGAGGAAATGTTTTGCTCTGAGAAAGAGCCAGGAGTCAAAGCTGAGGAAAGAGACATTGGCAAAGGGATAACCACTAGCCACCCAGTACTTGGGGCAACCAGACCACCATACTGCACTCTCTAAATCCAGAGCATCCTCCCAGCTGTAGAGTTAGTGATGCCTCCCAAGAAGTCCAGTCTTATATGGTGCCTCCAAACCCACTGAATCCCAGCACAGACTAGCTTCTTTGATCACAACGCCCAAAGTCCTAATTACTTTCCTTGCCACTCTTGTCCTTAACACCTCCCACTAAAAATTAGCTCTCTGTAGTTGCAAAGAGCTAGGAACAAAATGGCTACCCACCAACTGGCAGAGATGGTTGAACAAACTGTGGTATATATATATATACATATATATATATAATGGTGCCATAAGAAACAATGAGTATGAGGGACTTGGGGAAACATGGGAAAACTTTATCTGCTAATTCCAAGTGAAGAAAGCAGAACCATGAGATCAATTCACACAGTGATGACAATAATGATACTGAAAACAACATAAAAAGGGAGCTGAATTAAGATTGTATATGGCATCTCATTTGGTTCCAACTGCTTGATAATGAAACACCCTTCCCTCCTTTTCATCAAGAGGTGGTGGACTACTGTTCCAGAATCTTGGTACGCTGTTAGTCACAGCCACAATGTTTGCCTGTTTTGGTTAACTGTTCTTCTTTCTCGTAGTAGAGGATACTGTGGGAGGTGGGACAGTATTGGAAAAGGGTAGTAGTATGAAAATCAAACAAAAAAAGTCAATGAAACATTTCTTTAAATAAAAAGAAAACTAGCCCAGAATTAACCAGGAATCCTTGCGGACTGGTCAGTTCAGCCCAGTTCAGGACCTATATCTTGTGATTCTTTTTTAACCTAAATGTGGCTTCCCCTAGAACATACCTAGTTTGATTCTTGCCTTCTCAAGTTCCACCAGTTCTAATCAATCTCCTCCCTATGGTCTATAAGCCCATCCTACCCTGTGGGTCACTTCCCAAAGAAAGCTCAGTCCTTGACAGTTCAAACAGGTCCTGGAGCCCACCTTGGTAGATTTTGGTACAGGCTGTCCAGTTCTTATTGAGGATGGGCAGGCACACCTCTCCATTCTCAGACACATTGGGGTGATATATCTTGGTTATGAAAGTCAGCTGGGGAGGGCTGAAGGGGTAGTTACGTGGGAAGGTGATTCTGAACTTGAAAGCCCTAAGGTTATAGGGCTCTTGGTCCTGGGAGAAAAGAGAAGAGAGAGGTCATAGCTCTCCTGGGGAATTAACGCTATGTAACCGAGTGTGTTCAGGTTTAGAGAATCAGAATTTAGGAGTCATCTAATCTAACCTCCTCATCTTACAGATGAGGAAACTGAGGTCAAGGGACATAGAATGATTGGTCCAAAGTCAAATAGGTGGTAAGTAGCACAGCCAGGACTGAAACCCAGGTTCACAGATTCAGTGATCTTTCCACTGCACCAGGTTGGGGGACAGGGAGGAGTTGAAACCCAAACCCACCCTCTTGTGCATCTGGGATAACCAATCTCAGGTCCATTTGAATTCAGGAAATAATTATTGGTTAATACACTATAATAGGGGTTTGTGGGAATAAGAATAGTAGCTGAAGTTGGTACCACCCACCTGAAGTTTTACTGAATACTTTCCTCATAACAAGCCTGTAAGGCGGGTTGTACAAGCATGAGTATCTCCATCTTACAGATAAGGAAACTGAGGCTGAGGGAAATAGAGCCACTTGGTCAGGATCACACTCCTGGGAAGTGCCACATCTGGGACTCACCGGGAGGAGCATCGCATTCCATATAAGCACATTGGAATTTTCACTGCACAGGTCCCGAAGGTAACTTGGTAGGTTTTCCTGCATTGCCTCCAACTCCTGCCAAATAAATACCAAGAGAGCCACTCTTCTCACCAACCCCACCTCTCTCCTTTCAAACCCCTCCATCTTCAGCAGCCAGCTTTCTCGTGCCTGGGACAGGGACAGGAGAGGCTCAGAATCAACCCTCTTGGGGAGAAGGAAAGGGACCAAAGTAAAGGGAGTAGAGCAAGAAGATCTCTAAAGCCCCGTCCAGCTAGACAGCCTATGGTTATATGACCCAGCTCAGCGTTCCCATCCTTATTAAAGGCAGTGTGGGGTAATGGATAGAGGCGGACCTGTAGTCTGGAAAACCTAGGTTCAAATTCAGCCTCATCACTTCCTAGCTGTATGGCCATGGACAAGTCACTATACTTCTTGAAGCCTCAGTTTTCTCATCTGTCAAATGGAGGATAATGATATTTCCAGTATATCTCACAGGGTTGTTGTGAAGTTCACATGAAATCATGTATATAAAGGACTGCAAATTTTGAAAGGTGATATGCTCCTATTATTATTAATTACTAAAACTCATGGGATCTTAGCACAGACCTCAGAGTCTATCTGGATTAAGCCATTCCCTAACAAGGATCTCCTATAAAAATAATAATTAGTATTTATATAGAGCTTTAAGGGTCGCAACATGTGTTTGATTTTTCACAACTCTGGGGGCAGGTGCTGCTATTATTATCCCCATTTTACAGATGAGGAAACTGTATCAAGTAAAGGTTAAAAGACTTGCCCAGGGTCACATAGCTAATTTCTGAGTCAGGATTTGAACCCAGGCCTTCCTAATTTCAAGCCCTGCATTCTACTCACAGTGCTACGTAGTTGCCCTGGTCAGCTAGGCTAGGCTAGTCTGCTGCTGCTACTATTACTATTACTGCTGCTGCTGCTGCTGAGTTTTTGAAGAGGACCAGCAACTTCTCAGATGAAATGGATTTAAATGAAGCAAAGTTAGCTGCCTCACTCTCTCTTCCTGAGTGATCCATCCTTTAATTTAAGACTCACTGGAGAGGAACTCCCAAGGCAACCCATTTCATTTTGAGATGGCTTTATGTTAGGAAGTTTTCCCTTATATCAAGTCTTATTTCGCCTCTTTGTAACTTTTATCTATTGTTCCAAACAGAACAAAGCTAATCTTCCACACGACAAACCTTTATAGACCTGAAGACAGCAATCATACCCCATTCTTCACCCCTGCCCCCTTACCTTCCACCCCAAGTTTTCTCTTCTCTAGTTAAAGATTCTCAGTTCCTTTAACCAATCTACCTACAGCGTGCTATGAATTCTGTACCTTTCCCCTATGGGGACAATTCCCGAATACTCAACCTCTTATCAATGTTCCTCATAAAACGTACCACTCAAACTGAACTCCAGGTGTGGCATGACCAGGACAAAGTAAGTGAGGATTATCACCTCCCTGATTCTGAGTACTAGGTCTATCTTAAGTGCTGTTGTCGAGTCATTTCAGTTGTGCCCAACTCTCCATGACCCCATATGGGGTTTTCTTGGCAAAGAAACTGAAGTGGTTTGCCAATTCCTTCTCCAGATCATTTGATGAGGAAACTGAGACAAACAGGGATAAGTGACTTGCCCATGGTCATACAGCTAGTGTCTAAGGTCCGATTTGAACTCAGGTCCTCCTGACTCCAGGGCCAGCACTCTTTTTACTGAGTCACCTAGCTGCCCTGTCTTAAAGCAGCTTTATCACATTTTCCTTATCACAGTGTTAATTCTTATTGAGCTTGATTTGGGGCCTCATTTTATATTATATAATTATAAAATATATAAAATATTATATAAATATAAAATATATAAAATATCATATAATTATAATGTAGTTATATATACATATATACATATAATTACAAATATAATCATAATTTAATTAATGTAAAATATAATACATAAATTAAGATCATTAAATTATAATAAATGATTAAATGATTATGAATTATAAGCAATTATAAATGATATATTATAAATAATTATATATAATATAGCCTATTGAGCTTGTAGTTTAAAAAAAAAGATCTTGAGGATCTAGCCATGCCTCCCCTCAACCACACCCCATCTTATATTTGTAAAATTGATGTTTCAAAACCAAGCGCAAGATTTCATTTTTTCCCATAGTTTTAATCATATTTTAATTAGTCCAATATTCTAGCTTATTGAGAACTTTTGGGATCCTGACTTTGTCATTCAACATGTCAGCTATTTACCTCCACTCTTCTCACTCACTCTGTCTCCAGCCTCAGTTTTATGTCTTCTTCAGATCTGATAACCACAGTTATTTATGCTTTTATCCAAGCCATTGATAAAAGTATACAACAGTATAGAGCCTTCTGTCCAGGCACTAGAGATGTCACTTCAAGTTGACTGGTAAAGATGACTCTGATTTTGGCTATTCATCTAGTTCAGATTGTACCTAACTTCACTATAGACTTGACCACATGTCTCCATCTGGTCCACAAAAATATCCTGGGACACTTTATTAAGTGCTTAGCTAAAATCTAGCGTCTGTGTCAAGGTATGGATGTCCAGATTGCATAGGATTATAGAGTTGGTGCTAGATGGACCATCCAGGCCAACCAAAGCTCAGGAAACTAAGCACAAAAAGGTTATTAGAGGCAGGATATGAACCCAAGTCTTCCTGACTTCAAGTCAAGCACTTTCCTCTTCTCTTTCACAAAATCTAAGTAACTATGTCTGAGGCAGGTCCCTCATCTACCAGTCTGGAAACGCTGTCAAAAAAGAAAATGAGGTTAATGTGGCATAGCTTCTTCTTGATATGATCACTGCCTCCTTTTCTCAATATTGACTAAACATTCCTTCCATAGCATGTTCTAGATTTTTACCAGGAACTTTATCCCAGAGAACGGTGGCCATTCCTCTGGGACCTCAATCATTCTCCACAACCTTTTGAAAACCATAGACAATGGCTCTTCAATTACCTCTGCCATCTTTTTCATACCCTGTGATGTACCTGGGGCCTGGAGACTTGAACTCATTCAGGGTAGCTAATGCTCTCTTACCATCTCCCTATCGATTGTTTATTTCCACTCTCTTTTAGACATTTTTATCCTCTTTTTTTTTTTCCAAAGATCATTCTTCTTGACAAAGAAAAAAAAACCCTAAGCAGCTCTGCCTTTTCTCCATCCTTGGCAGCCATCATTATTCCATCAACATGAGCAGGGGTCCTATTCCTTCTTTGAATTCCTCTGTCTGGAACACAGCTTTTTTTTTTTTTTTGCAGTTGGGGTTAAGTGACTTGCCCAGAGTCACACAGCTAGTGTCAAGTGTTTGGTCTGAGGCTGGATTTGAACTCAGGTCCTCCTGACTTCAGAGCCAGTGCTCTATCCACTGCACCACCTAGCTGCCCCTAGAACACAGCTTTTAAAAAAAAATTTAAGGTTATTTTTCCATTTCCTCACCCTATCAACTCATTCTGAGTTTTAATGTTTGTGATGTTTTTCTCATGAGACAGTTTAAGGCTTATATATTCACGCTTCACCACTTGTCATTGCTTCCATCTTCAATACATGCCTCTTAAAATTTCTGGGCCAGATCATAGCATCTTAGATTTAGAACTGCAAAGGATCCTAGAGGTCAACATATCCAACCTCCTCATTTTCTAATTGATGAAACTGATCACCAGAGAGGCTAAGGGACTTGACCAGGGATACCTAGCCAGTATGGTCAGAGGTGAAACTTGAACTCAGGTCTTCCTGCCTCCAAAGCCAGTTCTCTATATCCACTATGCTACACTTCATGAGTTTTATAATCTAAGTAGGTTGTTGAGTTGAGCTTTGTAACCATGATAGTCTTCTTGGACAATTCCTTGTTTTCTGTATCCTAAGAATTGTTTCTGTCTGTGAAATCTTCACAATTTGTGTATAGAGAGCTTCCTATCCTTCCTAAGCCCAAGTGCCCTGTAGAATTTTAGACCAAAGGAGATGGCTTTTTCTTTTTTCCCCAACTTTTCCTTCCTCAGCAACATATGAAATATTCTCTTTAAAAATCTAGGATTATTCTCAGACAATGCCCAGCTTTTTTCTTCTCCATAATGAATTCAATTCAAAGCAAGCATAAAATCAGTCAACAAGCAGTTATTAAGCATCTGTTATGTGCCAGATACAAAAGGTATCGTGGCCTAGTGGATAGAGACCTGAATTCAAATCCTACCATTGATAAATACTGGCTGTTTGACCCTGGGCCTTCCTGAAATGCTCACCCTCTTCATCCTGGCCTCTTAGCTTCCCTCACTTCCTCTAGGACCTGGTTCAAATCCCACCTTCTGCAGGAGGGCTTCCCTGATCCTTTCATTTCTCCCTCTGCTCCTCCCCCTAATGTCTTCTGTCTAATATCTAGAATATGCATATAATAAGTATAAAGTTTGTAAATGTGTGTATACATGTCTGTGTATGAGAGAGAGAGGGAGAGATTCTTTTTTTAAAAAATATATTGTTTTTGTATATTGTCTCCTCCATTGGAATGTGAGCTCCATGAGGGCAAGGACTATTTTTTGCTTTTC